CCTACAATTCTGTCATCCTGCTTGACCTCTTTTCATATTCTCACCCCTCATCTATATGAATTTTCACATAAATACCCATGACAAGTAAGAATATAGTCAGAATGTTCAAAGTGTGTTGCGCAATTACATTAAACGATTCAGACTATTTACGACTTCTGATTGCCTTGTCGAAGTTTATAAACGGAATCATTTTTTTAAACTTCAGTAATTATTAGGGTGAGTGCAAACATGATAGACGCAGATTCTTCAAAGTATTGTCAAACTAACTTTAGTTCTATTTCTACAGGGGTAAGACTCTGTGGGAACTCAGGAAAAAAGAAGTAATACTTGACTGCCACAAATTTTATAGCATTATATGCAACTAAATACAGAAAATATTTTCATCACATTTGTGCACTTTTATTAACAAGCGAAATGATAGAGAAAAAAGGGTACAGGAAATGCATTTCCTCTTTTTCACAACAGCAGGAACAAGTGTCTAGTTGGCTATCGCATATTTAGATGAATTTTGAAACCTCAGGGGTAACCATATTTTTGGCACGAAAACCGACCAGCTTAAGCGATTAGCATGAATTTCTAACATACACACTTGTCGAAATAAACAAATGTGTCCGACATTTTTTCCTAAGTAAAAGGTGTGAAGACTAAATTTAAGATAAATCATTCCATGCCTTCATAAATGATACCAAAATTGTTAAAAATGCAATTCAGTTAAATTTCTTTGTTCTGCAAAATCTGTGTTATTAAGATGAACAGTTCCAGGAGAGACTGAAGAGGTTTTATATATATATATATATATATATATATATATATATATATATATATATATATATATATAGCTCTTGAAGCATAGAGAATGCTACAGTACTGCCGACTAAGACAACTGACTGATATCAGTTGGGGGAACCACTGTAAATTTGGGGATACTGTACAGCTGTTTCGTCCCATTGAGAAACCGCTTATCAGTAAGCAGCCATAACCCAGTTGGAAGTGAATCGGATGTCAACTGAAGACTTTGGTAGGTAATCGCACCATACAGCGAATTAACAAAAGTTGGAAACTTCGAACTACTGACCCAGTGGTTGGATGGTTAACGTGTTGACTGCAAGACAGTTTGATCCTTGGCAGGGTCACTAGTGTGCACTACTGAGGAGTCCCGTACTAGAACGAAAGAGCTGTCCATTGCTCCTAGTTTCCTGTGGTTCTCTAATTAATGTCAGTTAATGTTAAATGCAACCTTAAAGATAAAAAAAATACCATTAACTCCAAAATATACAAGTTCAACAAAAGCAGATCAAGAAGAAATTGGATGAAAATCTACCTTTTATAAAACATATCCCAAATTTAATTTGCTCAACCAGACAGGATGCTTATGTGACAACACAGAAAATGGTTTCTGAATCCGCTTTGTATGAATACTAGTTACATACTAACAATGTAACAGTGCATATTACATACAGTTCACAAAAGTTTCGGAGGGTTATTAAATTGATAAACTGGTCAGACAAATTCATTTAAATGTCGAGTTGTTTTTAATCTATCATGCCGTTTTCAAATGCCAATGAGATTTAGAACATCAATAAAAAATGTCTAAGTGTATTTTGTTCGTATTCAGCGTATATCTCCTAATTATTGGAAGTCATAAAGTCTAGTGACGTATTAACGCATTTAATTGCATTGTAGTTAATTGTATTAAGACAGTATGCCAATGTCCGAATACTGGAATATTTCTGAAGCGGCAAAAAAACCTTAAATCACTCTACCTCCAGTAGTTTATCACTAAACGGTGACACCTACTATGGTGACAATTTTCATAGTACAAAGTAACTCAGAACAGAGCATTTTCTCTTCATCAAATCATTTGCGGTAGCTATACAATTGTATTTAGAGTAAGACCAAAATAAAGACTAGTCGATTATTGGCTATAGGTCATTAAAACGAAACGTCCTCGGATAAAATAGTGCATCTTTCCTACAGTTACGAAGTAGTTACGTAATTAAAGCGTGCACAGTCAATCACAGTGATGACTTTTAGGTTAAAATATAATGAAACTAACCATAATCAATAATCGGAGTAAACTAATACGAGAATTTGAGTCTAAGGTTCAAACTTATATGTTAAGACGCAAAAACGTAAACCATAAAGTATAACTTCATGCACTGTGAGAAGGAATAAAGCGAATTCTCACAAATGACGCAGTAGATTATGAGCTGAAACATCAGAACGCTTGTCTCCCAAGGTTTATTGAAAAAATATAAAGTCCAGACAACAACAAAGGAAAGTTCTTACTGTTCCTAAAGAGATCTTGTCCAATAATGTTGAATTCACAGGGAGCAGGGTAGCAGAACTGTTGGAAAATTGGCTCTCTAAAACAGTTTATAAAACATCCTTTGCCTCCGGACACTGACTAATCTCTAGCCAATAGTTGGTTCAAGGCGGTATGAAGGACTAACTGCCAATTCGAGCCCCATCCATATATATATATATATATATATGTCTACATGGTCTTGTGACAGCATATTGCATAATCTTTCCATATGTATCTCAGAGAATTGTTTTACTTGACTGTCCAGAGTTAAATGCAAGTCAAGCAGCAGTTCCATCTTCAACCATTTGATGAAGTAAATTCACTTAAAATGAGTGCTGCGCCATGTCTAAGGGAGGTGTTGGCTATCCGAAAACTGAAACTCATTCTCAGCGTACAGAAGAGGTACATCCATCTCTTAAATTTTCCTAGTCGTTGTCGTCCCTTTATTGGTACAATGCTCCAACACTTATCTTTCGTTGACTGACCAATTTTATTATTTCGACCTTATGGTTTGCTTTACTACGTCTCAACATGATGGTTTCAGTTTCCTATTGAAATTCGCACAAAACTGCTCTTCGCTTTATTTTTATAATCAGTATTATCACATTGCAACCTATTAATTACCACCATGTTCAACTGGATGATTACTTTAAACAAATAATGACTGCGTATTCTCTTACTAACTACTCACATTCAATGCGAGAAAATTCCATTTTGATAACCTACTGTTGACTTGTTAGCCTATAATGAATTCAACTGTTTGCTTACTATTACTTTAAAAACTGCATTTTGACGTGAATGAGAACTTTACTTTTGAGTTAGTATTCATCACTGACTGATATCATTTAGGGAACCATTAAAAACCTGAGAACGCTGGTAAGCTGTTCCGTCCGAGTATGGAACTCTTCATCAGAATACACCCGCAACCTGGCTAGGGATCAAACTCAGCACCTTCAGGTTGTACTGTGAACCAAATGGTCATTCAACCATTCAGTCTTGAGTAAGTACTTCTGAGGAGTTCCAGACTAAGATAAAATAGCTGTCTGACAGTCCCAGGAATTTAAAGGTTCTCCACAAAATATCAATCCATGATGAATACAACTGTACAGTTACAGGGTTTATTTTAACAATATTCACATACTATAATGATATTTGTTAACACATGGTTCAAGAAAAGTTGTAAATTATTTTCACCTTTTGATATTTTATCTAACATCATCAAATGACTACTACATCTTCAGATTTCTTTAAATTCCTCGGACGTATACTTTTTATCTTCAAGTGAAACTTGAGTGATTTGTTGTAAGCACCCAGCAAAAGCCAGATAACAAAGAGTGAATCTGAAGTCTATCTTAGTAGTCACTGAGTTAACCAATCAGGTTTTGGTATTTCAGCTGGCAAAGTGGTTTTTATAAAATAAAGAAACGCACTTGGTTATCATAGAACTTGTTAGGGTTGCTTTTCAGTTACACTCACCAAAACATCAAGATGAACAATGAATGTTTTCTAAAGCGGATAAATTTTCTGCAGGCAAAATGTGTCATTTTTCAGTTCTGCTTACTAGAAATGGTTGAAATGAAATGCGTTTAACTGCTTAAACACCGTTTTAGGAAAAAGTATGTTGAACAAATCTTGAAATTTGTCATAGATACTTCAGAATGATAATCTACAATAAATTTGTTCAAGGTAATTTCCTGAAGTCTGAAAGATTTTTATTTCGATATGGATAAGGTGGATGATCACATGCAGAATATAAATACTGAAGTGTAAATGGTGATCATATAAAAGATATTTTTCGTCAAAGGGTATTCAGTATTCTAATAGTTTATCATCTTTTAATGTATGCACTAGACTTAGAGTTCGTACCTGTTCAAGCACATCATGTAATTTCAAAACTTCGTCTTTCAGGAATAATGTCTTTAGTTGTATTGAAAGTAGGCTTAAAAGTTTATAGAACCGTATACATAACAGTATACAGTAACCAAAGCCGTTTGCTCACGAAGATTCTAAAATTTACCTTGAGTTCCTGTAACAATCGCAAATTTAAGTGCAGAAAGACGACGTTTCGGCTAAATAATCATTAAAAAAACGTTTGTATCCAGCACAAAAGTTGTAAGGTCTATTTTTATGGCATGAATGAGATAAAACAGCAGCATGAGTGTCTAAAAACATCACTGTTTCTGTGATTGTCTCTTCTTTTCATCTTGTCTTATCAATAGTCAGCAAGCTATTTTCATCATTAAATAATATTTTAATCTCGTAAATTTAATATTAGTCACACACTGCTTTTTCTTTCTTAACCACTTTTGTTATGGATACTCTTGATCTTTGCTAAGTGACGGCCTATCACTTCGTATCAAAAAGTTGTGTATGCCAGTTTAATAACGTAGGTAACACTTTTAGCTTTGTAGAACTTACTTTGACTACTTGTAAGTTCCATTCATAGGATTCATAAATTTAAATGCTGCATAGGATATAGTGAAAATTAAATATAACAGGCGACCAGAAGGTGTATGGCGAAAGGACGCGGTAAAAAGCTACTCGAAATATATTTCAACAAGCATAACACTATTCTTGTCAACAGTATCTAAATTAGATGACATGTGGCTTTCTGTCAGTTGAACTTGATATTTTTCAAGCCAGTTAACAAAAATGTTATGAATGATTACCCATCAAAATATTTTCAACTCACCAGTACGAAAATTTACAATAATATCCAGTATAAATAGGGTATCGGAAATACTATTGAAAATAAGCCAATTTCCAGGAAGATCATCATTGAAAAATGAAATTATCACCGGCAACATTATGAGGTTAGCCATTAGTAGAATGAGCATTATAACATTCCAATAAAATCTATAAATGAAAAGCAGAAAGGAAATTGATAGTTAAATAACGAAGTAGTAAACTCAAGGACGTTAAAAGTGCTTACCCAATAGTTTCGGAGCAAAATGATTGATTGCAAAGTGTGGGTAACAGATACATATATATAAAAAAGGGACTGCGAAAACGCTAGTGCACTGAACAGTGTGGTTTTAGTGTAACTGTTGACTGTTAACTATAACCTTCTTGTGAAAGTAGATGACAATGAACAATGACATTGAAAGTTTTCCGGCTTAACGTGATCGTCATGAATCTTGATCAACGGTTAACAGTAGTCTCACAGAAATAGGTTCAACTTCGAAAGTAAACGACAACTGAATATGATGGATAGTAAGACGTTTTGTCAGATACAAAACAAATGGTTACAGAACACCAGTCGAATCCATTATAACCAACGTCATAATTTTCTACTTTTGTTCACAGTTTGATCCTACTCAAATAAAATGAATTTATCAATAAAGAAAATCGATTTCTGGATGAATTTCTTGTCTATTTCTATTGTGTGTGTAAATCCTCACGGTATAATGACATTCGTTTTGGTCTGATGCTTTAGTCTCCAACTTCAATACTGAATGACACTGGTTTGTCTCACTTAGGGAATACTAGTTTCCACATGGTTATAGATACGCCTTGCTGATGAATGCTAACAAACACGAAACGTAGGTCTAGGGTTTCTTGCTGATTGGTTTCTACCAAATAACACCAAAATATAAGGTATCATAGTGTCGCGCTACTTTGTCTACTGGTCATATTGCAAAATGTGAAGGATAAACTCTGGCAGTTGCTAAGCACTAGATGCCAAACAGCAACATCAGTTACCGATTGGTTACCAATGTATTTTCAGTTCACTAATTGCTGCCCTTTTCCACTGCTCAAATTAAAAATTTCGTTCTTTTTCTATTGATGGGTCTCAATTTATTCTCAAATCAGTTGATTTGAATACAAGACTATTAATCAACGGAAACTCATAAATTATAAATTTATTTCCAAAAGCAGAAAGAGAACGATTTCATGGAAGTGACAATACTAAAGTATGGGAGACAAACAAATGTAGCTGAATTGTTGAGAAATGAAACAGAAAATGGTTAAAACAGTTTGACCTGTTAGAAAAATGCCAGCTATCTAAATACTTTTGTTGGAAGTGTACGTAATGGCATTACGAGAAGACGAAAACAAACAAATCCCTATTAGCCTCAAAATAATTAATTGTTTAAGCTGATGTTCATAAATTGCCTACAAAAAGAGTAATCACTTTAATTTACAAATAATATTTCCGGAAATGAGCCAGATGTACATCCCGCTGTAATTTGTTCATTATTTGTCATTGTAGAAAAACCTAGTTTTGTATGAAATTTAATTGCGTAGTGTTGTTGGCAGCGTCAAATTACATCAGAAGATGTAATGAAAGTTTGTAGATGACATTCTTAACTTTCAAGTCACTTTTTTGTTACTTGCCAATGGGTCACTATTTATGATCTGCATTATTTGGTAACAAATTTCAACAGTTTGTTAGTTAAGAACAGTATTTAAAGTACACTTTTGTGATACTTTGTACAGGATTACTTAATTGAAGTGCGTATCAACCTTTAAGGTGATTATGATGCCATACTGAAACACATTCTAACTTGAGTACTGAAAACCGTTTGATTTTTGCATCCTGCATCGTATTTTATTTGTGACTGCGGAAAGGACTTCCATCTTTCTTGGATTTGGCTTTTACACTGTAACAATGCAAATACTGCGCTTAAAAGTTTTTTAAGATAGACACAAAATCATTTGAAACGAGCACGATGCCACAATAAATTCCTGTAAAATACGTTTCAAGTCGAGAATAAAAACTGAGACATTACTATTGCCCTCCCACTTCTTACTTATATCCTAGTTAGGACTGATAATAGAATGAAACCTGAATCAGGAGAGAATGAAAAGATTTTCAGGATAAAATTCTGTCAGTTTATTTCATGGATGCATGAATTTTATATTTTATATCTTGGTCAAGTTGGATGATAGTTTATACGTGATTAGGTCACCAATCGTAGATCATGTTGAATACGCTGATGGAAGCAGATATACAGTGACGACTGAGGGAAGGATATCTGCCCCATTTCTCACAGGCATGTGTTTAAAAGGAAGACAGTGGTTAGAAAGACTGAACGCTTTCACATATGTAAACAAACATTGCCAAGTTAATTGCGTTTTACTGAAGCCACTGCAATTATACATTCCAGACATAACCCTTGCGTACAGAAGGAAGGTGTGATTTTTCCTTCTCTGCCTTGTTAAATTCATTGTTTATTTTGGTTACATCACACTGTTTTCACTTCCATCTAACAAGTTGTTTTTGCACCGGCTAAGCATTTTGTTACTGCTGTTGCGCTTACACAATTCGCTTACAGTTTGGCAACTGCCTCCATCCGAATAGTTTACACTTCTTCATATGACTCAGACCAACTCAGATACTTCATGCATTGCTGCAACATCTTGATCTGGTCACAGTAAGCCTTTTCTCAAACGAATTCAACTTCACCAAACAGTGGAGGTTGAGATAGAGAGCGGCTAGACATGCGCACCATATTTCATATAAAGTCATACTTTATCTTGACTAACATACCTGATTACATATTGTATGCAGCTGATGAGCTTGGGTATAATAAAGTGAATTCGTTCGAGTAAAGAAAGCAAGAATAAAATGTTCTAGCAATTTAGGCTGTCTAAAGATGGAAACATTGCTAGGATCCCTTTCGTAGGGAAACAGTTTCGAAAAGGATCTTTAAGAAGATCATATGAACCATTTATTGTTGTTTTCGTATAAAACACAACCAAATAAACCTATTTATTTTTTGAATGGTACAATTCAGCGAACATTGTGTAATGTTATATGTCTATAAATAACCGTAATCTGCTTCAAAGCACCATATGTATTACTCGGAAGCTAAGAGAGTATCGAAAGTGACTTGCTTTCGCGTCAATATTCATCTCACAGTATACTGAAACTGTTTGGGAGGATAAACCACCTGTACGTTATCTAGTGCAATGGAAATGAATTCACTTAGCAGGTTGATAGGTGAGCGGTTGGCTTAAAGGGATTTACTGACAAAAGTTATTTGAAATTACATAAAATCGGACAGTGACTGGCAGACTCATGAACTGATCGTATTGGTTGTACCTAGAGCTGACGCCTATTGTCGTTAGTTCTGGTGTCAGGAAGGCAGCTATGTGGATGTTGATCATGTCGTAGACATAACTCCTCTCGAAGAGAATAAGAATCCACACTTCACCATTTGATGTCCCATATTAGTATGTGGTTCATTAATTTACACTTTTGATAGCACGTTCATTTATCATCAGCCACTTAGTATGCTTCAAATGTTACGCTTCGTGATAACAGCATTCAGGAAGCTTTTCTAGATTATATTTTGGAAATATATCATGAAAAATTACATAATGGTCAGCAATACTTTCGTCTTTAAGAAAATGCAGTTCGTACTGTGAAAACGTTTCGAGATTTTCACACATCAAAACAGTCATTTCTCAATAAAGTGAATACATTTTTAGTTTTAAATTGGTCTAGCGGAAAAGTCTTGAAAATGGAATGCAAACAAGAAATGTGACAGAAAGCATTACGTATTGATTCACAACTCTTTAAATAAACACGTATATTGCAATCGTCGTACATCAAAAAAGTTCAGTCTTTTCTATCTGTGTAAATTATCAATGTTAATACACATTAAGCCTCTCTAAACCGAAAAATTAGTTGAACCGATAAAATTCACCACAAGATCCGCAAATAAAACACACAAGGGAACAAAGAAACTTCAAGTCTATATGATTTATTGAGCAGTAAGAGACAAAAGGTAAAACTAACTCAAAATGGATGGTTTAGCAGAAAACGTCGCTAGAGCAATAAATTTCACTTTTAGGAATAGCATGGTTAGCGCATAATTTAAAACGCTTTCGCGGTTCTAATAGGCTATTATTTGCAGGACTTTACTGTCTAATATCTTGTTGAAATAAGCAGATAAGTCTTTATCTAAATTAATTATTAAAATGACAAGAAGACAGCTTGAACCCACGCATATAGTAACTAGTTTGATAGGAAGATCACTAACTGTCAGACTGTTAAAACAAAATCAAGGGTAGGATAGAAATGGTAGCAATGGGATGACTTATTGAAGAGGAATGGGGAAAAGGACTGGATGTATGAACAATTTTTGTCCTGAATTATTCGTTGTGTATTTATCAGTGAGGCATACACATGTTGCCTGATCAGCAGTATTAATAAACATCTATTATTGCAGAAACAGGTAGTATTTCGAGTTGGCAGCGATCAGTTTTGTTACCACTCTAAGGTCACTTTTATTCGCAATTGGCTGAACTGTAAGGTTTTTATTTACAGATGATGTATGAAATGTTTCAGTCGATAGCCTGTGCGCACTACTGATCGTATTTGCGCAAAAACTAATCAGAAAGAACAAAGAGACAAATAGAAGTCGTTTTATGCATGATTAAGGTTGGTTGCAGGAAATCCTATGCAGTTCTGTTTGTGACAAGCAAAGTGTTCGTGTGACCGTCTTTGTTAGCCAAGGTTTAGCAGACGTCTTGATAATGTATGACGATTGATGGGGAAGTGGAAAGCTAGGGCATTGCAGGATTCGAACCAGTGACCTTTGGGTTACTAGCCCGATGCTCCAGTAACTGAACTACATGACCCGGCTGCAGCGCAGATCTTTATTTCATTTCGATCGCCAAAGTTTATTCAAATAGTTATACTCATTCCATGCTTGCATTACGAAAGACAACTGTTGTGAAGAAGGCTTATGAGAATTCTCAGTCTTCGAACCACGAAAAAGAAAGCTAAACTGTCAGCTCTTTTTCATATTAGACTGTTTGTTTGATGCAGCACACACATACAGTATAATCTGCTGGTTGACGTTTCGACGAAAATTTATAGCTGATATTGATATCAAAGTAAT